TACGTGTCGCAGGTACCGCCAGCGCTTTGCCCGGCTGTTTTTGGCCAAAAAGAGGGCTTGAAGGGGTTTTTAAAGGTGGAAAAGATGGTAGGGGAAGGAGGTAGCAGTGTGAGGAGGGAGCTGGGGGCTGTGGAGTGGTGGGGGGAACGTGACAAATGCTGTGGTCTGCTCTTGCCTTCCTCCCCTCCCCGCCCCGAAAAAAAATAATGGAGAGGGGTCTGCCTGGCACGCCAGCCCCTCGGCACTGGGGATGCAGTGTCGCCTGCCCCGATGAGCTGATCCACCTGTTCCCGCAGTTTCCTGGCTTCCAAAATGCAGGATTTGCCCTCGGTCCTGAAAACCCCCTCTTTGGCTGTGTTGGGGCGGGAGGGGATAACCTGGTGCTCCCATGTGATCTCCCAAAACCCTGGGGGCTCTCAGCACAGCATCCCAGGGTCAGTACTGTTTCCTGTAGTTAGTGCTTGGTCATATTGCAGAACACAGTACGTAGCTACAGAGAGCCTAAACAGATACACCTCCCACTAGACCGGGTGGCTCAAAGCCCCATCCAACCTGGCCTTGTACTCAGATTTGCTAGATTTTCCACCATTAGGAGTTACTTCCCAACACTGTGGACTTGTGTGTCTCTACGAGCTGTTACCCTTGTGCCTGTGTCTAAAATAATCTCGTCATCCACATCTCTATGCGCATCTGCTCATTTATATTATTATCATGAGGCACATTATCTTCTGTAATGGTATAAAGATTTGAGCTGTGGAAGCCAGCCATCCTCTGTACGTGCATTGTTACTGCATGTGCGGTGTATCTGCCATAATCTGATGCACAGCCTGTCTCAGGCACTGACCACACGGAGCAGGGACTGCCACAAAATCCTAACGATCTCCTTCTTTTCACCACCTTAAAAGGTAGCTCCGCCTTAAGCCAGGAGGATGCTTTCCTTTCTGTCTGGCTTTCCTCTCCATCCCTTTTTACTCCACAGGAATGTTTCTGGATATTTTTTTTCCCCCTCCTGTGCAGTAACAGAAATCAGGCCAGCCAGGGAGGAGGAGGCAGAGAGCTATTTCAGGGAGCTACTGTTATCTGCTCTATGTTAATCCCCTGGCTGGGTGAGGGGAAGGTTTTTCCCTGAGTGCTTTACTGGGAGGGCATATATTAAACGTTGAAAAGCAAAGAGAGGAAGAAGAGGATTAGAGGGAGAGAGAGGAAGCTGGCTGCTGGTTTTACTGGGGTTATCCATCTGCTCTGCTTTTATGGAGGCAACAGCGTGAGCAATCTCACTTGAGTTTTTTTTTCCTCCTTCCTTTCCCCACCCCTTTCTTTCTCCCTCTCAGATATCTGTGTATCGAGGTCCTTTTGCATCACTGTTATCCCGGAGCCCTGGAAGGCCCCTCACTTTCCTTCCTCCCAGTTTCACCTCCTGCTGTAACTGAGCTGTTGAGATAATGGAGCTCAGGAGTGTGGTAGCAACCGTGGAAAGTGGGGAGCAAGACACAGTTCTCAAGGTGCTTCAGATCTACAACCAGGAGGTGAGTGAGCATCAAACCTCTGCCTCACATCAGCTGCTGCTGTTTACCAGCCTGGAAGCAGGTTGGCCATGTTGTGGGATTTCTGTGCCATCCGGCTGTCCCCAGTCTGTCTCCTCTGAGTGCATCTGTCTGCGTGTTACTGCCATAAAAATATTACAGACTGCTTCATCTTTTACTTGCAGATGGTTTATTGCTTGATGTTTTTCTAGGAAGCAGCTAAGCAGCCTCTCTTTATATTAGTTCCTTTGTATACTGGAGGTAAAGCATGTAGAAGGGATTTATTTTTTTAATTGTTATGCAAATCCCAAGTAAAACCTGGTAGGGAAATAAGCATCAGTGTGAAGACTGAGTAGGAGGAGCTTTTATGTAGAGGCAAGGTTTGGAGGTAATAAAACGGAGGCCTGGGGAGGAGCTGCAGGTGAAATGGTTGTCCTGATTTGCAAGTGAAAGATCGTTAAAGGTGAACAGGGACAGGCTGCTGGAATTTGATACAGGAGCCTGATCTGAAAGCTGACAATAAGAAGTAAATAACGAATATAGACTACCAAAAAAAGAATGTTTGGGAAACAGAGATGGAAGTGTTTCTAGCCTTAAAGTGGCAAAAGATTATCTGTGGGGGTAAATCCCTTTCGAAATAGGCTCCAGTTGTCAGGGATGTTTCCTTCAGAGGGTTTCCACCAGGGTAGGGCTGGCCCTGCAGATGTCCGTGACTCATTCTGCACCATTCTTGAGTAGGTGGGAAGCCGACGGGGAAAACCTGTGAATATTTTGCACGAGTGTGCAAGAGGGAGAGTGTGCCACTATTTCCAGCCATTGGTTTTGAAACAGGGGAGATATTAGCCAAGAGGAGCGGGTCCTTGTTAGAGGCAGTCCGCGGGATTAACATCGCCTACAGCAGATGTAATGCTGGAGAAGTCAGGAGTGCAAACAGAGTTTGATGTGTAACCAGCTTGAGGCATCAAACCGCAATATTTTCTGTCGAATTACGCCGGCTGGATCCTTTGTCGGTATATCAAGCGTAGGAAACTTGTGAAAATGTCAGTGTTTATGCTAGCCCATCTAGAAGAAATGGAGCAATCAAAGAGGATTATGAAACAACAGCTAAACTGAGCAACTTTCTTGCATCATTTTTTACTGTAAAAATTGGTGGTACTGTATCCTTTTTCTGGGGATATATTTTAATTCACTATTGTATATGCAATCAATTTTTGATTGCTAGGAATAAACTACAGCTAAAGCAAAACCACAGGTATGGCAAAAGTGTACATGAATGATATTACAGGAGCCTGCAAAGAGGATGCGATGGGAAAAGAACAAGTGGCATGGTTGTCTGCAGAGCACGTCAGTTCCAGGACTGAACCGCCAGTTCCTCATAACGTGGTGCAACAGCCTGTGCACGGATCAGCTCACAGTGCTAAAGCACGGGAGGGCAGCCCCTGGCACAGCGCTACGGGAGTGCGGCTGTCCTGCCTCCACACCTGAGGTTTCTCAAGTGGCGTGTGAGCGTTCCTTTGTCCATCACAGCTTGTTCTAGGCTAAAGGACAAAAGCCATCCCTGGGATCTTGGTGACTGTGACACAGTTAATCTGCAAACTGTTATCTTCTGCTTTTAAGCAGACAGGAATTGGCAGCACATAAAAAAGGCTGTGAACGGTGGGGAAGGCTACATTTGCAGAGAGAGTGAGTTGGGGAGCACCTGTGATCTCCAAAGACTTGGTGTGGTCAGTCCTGGGCTTTGCTGGGCAGGAAATCAGGTAGAGTTAGACAACTGGAGAGCTCATAAGTAATAAATACAGTGGGAGACGAGCTGCGTTGTTCAGACCTATGGATGGGATGTCCATGAATTGCGGTCACTCAAGAGTAAGTCCAGAGTATAAGAATGATTGATTGTGGTAAGACTAATTACCGTTATTGAGCAGCTCTGTCAGTGTAAGCAGTGTAACTCAGAAAAGGTGACAGTAAGCACTAAGAAAATGATGGGAAAATTACAATTATGTCTGCGTATCTCTATCTATAGATCTGGCTGTATCTGTATGTACATAATTAGTGTTCTATAAATTTTAAACGTTTACAGGTCAGGAAAAGGAACAATAAATATCAAGGGGAGAACTGTGTAGGCACAGGTTGATCATGTCAGTGGGCAGAGGAATTACCAGCTGTTACGGGATATTTGGATTGTGATGAATACCCACTTTACTGCTGCAGTGTTTAAAAGTAAGTCCATCCACCAGATGGGCGCAGCTTTGGCCTGTGGCATTCAGCCTCCACTGCAGAGCCAGCAGAAGAGGGCAATGGGTAATATTCATCACAGATGTTTTTCAAGGACGAAAGAGAAACAGGGGCCTGCAGAATAGTGGGGACCTCGGTCAAGGAAAGCACTTCAGACCTGGTGGCATGGTCCATCTCTGCGCTTTTCAAACCGGATTCATTCACCCTAGTTGTGAAGCACATAGTTGGAGTTACCTAGGTAGGAACAGTGCTGGAAGGAAAAGACAGGACTGAAGTGAAAACCTCAGTGGCAGGGATGTATTCCTTTTGTATTGTTCCTCAGGAGCTTGCGCTGCTTGTTACATGCCCCACAAATATGGAAGACCTCTCTAAGCTCTGTGGCACTCCTTGCCGTGCCGATTCCCTGCCTCTGTGCCGGTGGAGACTGTTCTTGAGAAGCTGTGCTTGCTTTTGCAGTATGTTTTTAGACCTGCTGCTTTCCAGCTGAATGGCCCTCCCCTGGCTGGGGGATACAGTTTTGTGCATTTTTAACCTATTACTTATTTTGATTGGTTTTGTTTTGCCTCCACAGAAATCTCAGTGCTTCACCTTTGACGATGAGGAGCGGGAAGAGAGGAAGGTAGGCACACTCTTTGCTTTCTTCCTCTAGTCGGATGCGTAAATCTGCTGCTGCTCTGTACTCGTGTCCAGCAGGGCTTGGTGGGGGCAGCTCCTAGTGAGAAAGAAGTAACTGTTTTTCATTAACTTGGTTAGGGAATGGTGTGCTCAGAGCATCTGGCTCCAGTTTTTCCATCAGGAGTGTCGGTGTTTTAGGATAAAGGTCAGCATCCTTCCAGCATTAGTAAGCCCTTTAGGTTCTGTGATACATACAGTCTCAGCCACGGGTGTATAAAAAGTGTGATCCTTCATGTTTGTAGCATGAGTCTGCTAGGCAAAGATCACAGCAACATGCAAGCCTGTAGAAGTTAAGTGGTTTTGCTGTGAGCCAGCTGAAGGATTTGACTGAGGCTGTGTATTAACAGATACTTTAAGCTGGTGTAATCTGGTACTCAGTGGAAAGAAACACTCCTGCCTGTTCATTTCTACTGTTGCAGTTCTTTCATGCCAGGGCAGACCTTTGTGTGGCTGCACATGGTTGGTGGGCTGATCTGCCTAAAGAATAACTCTTTTTTTTGCTGGATTATTTTCCAGCTGAATCGGTTTTGTGGTCCAGTTCATTGATTGATTGCACTAATGCCTGTGTAAGCACAGCAAGTGTGGACCAGGCAACCAGGGTGGAGAATGGGACCTCTTTTGTCTGTGCTATTGCCTGCAAATGCTAGCATGAAGTTTTTCAGGTACAGCCTGATGCGTAGGACTGAATCTCACAAGATCTGAGCTCTGTGCCTTGCACTGACTTGCTGTTTGAGCTGGGACAGTCACAGAGGCCGTGAATTCAGGCACAGCCTTGGGGTGCTCCACTTTTGGGATGTACGTCATGAAATATGAATTGAGCATCACCATCTAGTTCCTGGTGCTCGGTTCTTCTGGAGGTTTAGCCCTGGGCACGTGCTCTGAATCTCTTTAACTTGAGTCACTCAGAGGCTTTGGTTACGACTTCATCTTTAAGTCCTGTGTCTCTGTCTCCTCATATGGAAGAAGAGGAATGACCGTACTTTCTCACTTCTTAAGAGTGTGACTGTGGGGTGTACTTCATGAGCTAAAGCTTGTTGCGTTCTACCAGCCTCACATAAAGGAGTAAAATTCATTTTTTCTTCATTCCTTCCCTCAGTCCTTTTATTATTATGAAGTATAACTGATTAGGCTGTGTTAAACCAGTTACACTGAGTGATTGCAAACCTTGCAATCTTGGATTCTTTTGCTCTTGAGATATGCATGGAAAGACATGTGCTCTGATATGGTGTCGTGTTAGAGAGATTTAGCGAGGTTCTATCTCACCAAGGTGTGACTTAATGCAGCGGATTACTCGTGTAATGTGAAGTGTTGCTGCACATGGTTCAAACCAAGCTGTGCTTAGTTGTGTGAAGCATTACCTTTGCTCTTGTGCTCTTCCATTGCTTGCTGTTATATACGATGCTGTTAGCCACACGGGTTAGATTTTCAGCTCTTGTGAATTGGTGTTAGTGGAGCTCTGCCAGTCTGTACCTGCTGAGGATCTGGGCTAGTAGGTCTCCAGACAGCACTGAGGTTTAGGGAGGTAGTACTTATTTGAATCTCCTGAGGTCTTTTCACCTCCTTTCCTAGGGTGTCATGTGCTATTCTCACCTCACTTAGGTCCTTTTACCCTCCCTTGGCAATTTTCTGATGCATCGCTCAACCTTTGCAGTCTGTTTCTGGAGCACCCAAAGCAGATGCCTCCCTAATCTTAAGGCTCTGGGCGGGAGCAGAGAACTGCTGTTGAGTTGGTTGTTGCTGCTCAGTGAAGCCCTAAGGGACGTTTTTGCCCTGCCCTCTCTAAGCTTAATGCAACTGTCAAATAAACCCTGTTAGCCTGAGCCATCCTAACCATGGGTGAAGCTCAAATATGCAATAGGAGCAATTGGCTGCTCATACTCTCCCCTTACATCTGACACCCTCTCCCAACCATTCTTTGTGTCTTGCTGGGTGTCCTTGCTCGAAACTGGGTCAGGCTCAGATGCCGCAGCCAAATGCTTCCCAAGTGCTGCCAAGTGCACACCTGAACCAGAGCCATTAGCAGGCCCATCTGTAGATGATGCTTGCATCTTCCAGGGCAGAGCATTACAGGGTGGTGGGGGAGCACTGTGAAGTGTCAGTGCAGGAGGTATTACTTGTTTCCAACTGCACAGAAAATGGCCCAGCTGCTGATCAAGTTCCTGGAAAGAGAGCTGCAGCCGTCCTGCCAGGTCACGTGTTTGGAAAGCATCCGCATCCTGTCCCGGGACAAGTACTGCCTTGACCCTTTCACCACCAAGGAAGGCCTGAAGACCCTCGCCAGACACGCTGGCATTGATTACTCGGAGGAGCTCATCCGGGAGGTCCCAGACTTGGATGTAATCCTGGAATCCCTCAAATGTCTCTGCAACATTGTCTTCAGCAGCCCTAGGGCACAGGAGCTGACAGCTGAAGCCCGGCTGGTGGTGGGCCTGGCCAAGCGCATCAAACTGTACAAGGAGAGGAGCCTTCCTCACGAGGTCAAGTTCTTTGACCTGCGTCTCCTGTTCCTGCGGACGGCGCTGAGAGTGGACATCCGGCAGCAGCTAGCCCAAGAGCTCAGGGGCATTAGCCTGATGACAGATACCCTGGAGCTGACCCTTGGTGTGAAGTGGATGGACCCCTACGAAGTTGCCACCGAGGAGGGACTTCTCCCACCTTTGCCTCGGCAGGAGACGGAGCGAGCCATGGAGATCCTGAAGGTGCTCTTCAATATCACCTTTGATTCCAGCAAGAGGGAGGTGGACGAGGTAAGCTCCTTAGGTGTCCCGCCACACTGCATTCGCCTGTCTTCGGGCTGTAGTTTGGCTGCTGGTTTTCTCCTCCACTTGCATTTCCTCATATTACCTACTGGCCCTCGTGCAGCCTCTGGGTACATGTAAGGGTAGCAAGACAGTTGTGTCTCCCTGAAGCACTGCATCTATCCAATGCATTATTAACCCTTAAGACTTTTTAGAGCATTACAATTTAAAAGTTAGGTGTTTTTCCTTCTTAATGACATGATTTGTTGCACAAGTGGGAGAGCAGAGCCCCCACATAACTTGTTTCTGAGTGTGGCCTGGTACTCTTTCACCTTCTGGACGAGGTCAAAGGAAGGTATGATGGAGAACGTCTCTGGCTAATCCACGGGCCTGTTTTCGGGCCTCTTGCAGCCCTTGGCTCAGTGTTGTAGAGTGAGGGGAAGGGTATTGGGCAACAGGAAGACTGTGTGTTGACCTCAAAAGGAGAATCAGGAGGCTACTTCCATTTAAACACCCTGCTGACAGTTACCAGGCTGCTGGAGGGAGGGATGGGGCTGTGGGCTGCAGGGGCAGCAGGTTCTGGGATGTGGAGGATCTCCTTTCCTGATCAAGGTTTTCATTTTTTGTTTTGGGGCCAGGAAGATGCTGCTTTGTACCGGCACTTGGGTGCCCTTCTGCGCCACTGCCTCATGATCTCTGCTGATGGAGAGGACCGGACAGAGGAGTTCCACAGGTCTTTGTTAGATAACTAGGTCATGATCTTCACTAGAAACAGGTCTCCCTAAGGCAGATCCTGCCTGACCTTGGCATTAACCTCTGCTTGTTTGGTGATTGCTAAGGTCACTGCTGACAAGCAGGCATCTTTGGTTTGGCCTGCAGGTTCCTCCTCCTGCTAGAACTCAAACAGTCCGTCCCTTCCTACAGTCAAATTACGTGCACTAATGCCACAGCCTCCCGGCCTGCAGCAGGCAGTGTTTGCTCCAAGCCTGCCTGACCCCAAGGGCCATGTTCAATGTCCTGCATCAGGCCTTCTGAACGGTGCCACCCACTTCACCGGGCAGCTCGCCCGAGCAGATGTTTGGTACTTTTAAATTTAAGAGTCCATGGGGTGGCCTTAGGTAACTCTCAGTCTCTTGAGCCATGCTGAGAAATTGCCAGTGTCACATTGCTGAGCGTTATTGGACCAGGGGTGTCAGCTTTGAGCGGGTGACACCATCCTGTCTCCAAGAAAACTATAGTCCGAGGAATCCTAAGCAGTGCATTGCATTGACCATCAAGGTGAGAAGCAGTGGTGCAGCAGGAGACCCTAGAGAAAGACCTTTGACCACCCAGATTGGCCCTACTTGGCCCCTGTGTCAAGATCCATGGTTTCTCAGTTGTCACTGAAGTCTCTTTGTACTCCCAGCAAATAGTTCAACTACCCAAAAAGCAGTTTAATTTATTCCCTTTTAGTGGTGTGAGGAGCTTGGGAAGCAGTCCAAAGACAATTGAATCTCAGGGTCTTCACACTCCTGGAAGTCAGTAATGAACCTTCATTTCTGGATAGCTGAAGAACTTCTGTGAACAAAGATCCATGACTATGTGTTCACTTCTCTTCTCTTTTACATGTTTAGTCATACGGTTAACCTTTTGGGCAACCTGCCCCTGAAATGTCTGGATGTCCTCCTGACGCCAAAAGTCCGGCCAGGCTCGCTTGAGTACATGGGTGTCAACATGGATGCGGTCAGCATCCTGCTGGATTTCCTAGAGCGACGCCTTGACAGGGTAAGTTGTGAGGCTGCTGTGTGAGTTCGTCACTGCTCATTTTCACAAGTTCACTGCAGGGCACCTTTCCTTCAGCCTACTTTCAGCCTTGAAGAGCCCAGTGCTGACACCACAGGAGCACCAGCAAGGCATGGTTATTTTGGAGATACCCCTTTATAGAAGGGACAGTTTTTAGCAGAGGCAGAACTGTTATGGTTGGTAGGACTAAAACAACATCTGTCGACTGGGAAGGTGACTGCGTCATTGCTTTACGGACTGCAGGTAGTGAGATTAGTTGAACAGCAGATGATTAGATGGGCGATTGAAATATCGCTGCTCTGTTTCACTCAACTCAGTAGTGATCCAGTGGGCAGCTTCTGGAAGCCTGAATTTGCATTATTTTCAAGCTGGCTGTAGTTGTCAGCCTCTGGAGTTATTCCAAATGGTCTCCAGATTTTACCGCTGCACTTCTCTGCTCTGGATGCCCTACACAAGTATTTCTACCACTGCTGTGACACAGAGCAGGGCTTGGAAAACCGTGCAGTTTGAGGAGTGATGAAGCAGTGAAATTCCTGTAGCAGAGGCTGGAAAGCTTCAGTGTCCATCTGTTTCCCTTACGATCTGTGCTCCTGTTCTCCACCACAAGCCAGACAAGTTGAGCTTAGTGTGACTAACATGTTCGTTTTGTGGACACTTCTGCAGGGACACAAGCTGAAGGAGAGTTTGACCCCTGTGCTGAACCTGCTGACTGAGAGTGCCCGAGTCCACCGCCAGACAAGGAAGTTCCTGAAGGCGAAGGTATGCTGTAGGTCAGCCAAAAGTTGCGTGATGCTGCACTGAGGAGAGAGGAGAATAGCGAACTGCCTGATTATTGCCATCCTCCAAACAGACCTCTATCTCTCTACTAGGTTCTGATATGTGGGTGATTGAGGCCTTTGGTACCCACAGGATTTTTTCCACATCTCCCACGCTCTGTGGATTTATTAATTTTAGCTGATTTGTAAATTGGATGTACACTTTCCTCTGACCTGCTGTTGCTGTTCCAGCTCCACTGATCACTCCTCACTGTGGCGTTGTAGGTGCTGCCTCCGCTCCGGGACGTGAGGAATCGGCCAGAGGTGGGGAACTCGCTGCGGAACAAACTGGTGCGTTTGATGACCCACATAGACACCGACGTGAAGCACTGCGCAGCAGAGTTCCTCTTTGTGCTCTGCAAGGAGAGCGGTGAGTTGCAGGGGCTTGTTGTGGGCTTTGGTGACAGGGAGTCCTGGAGCTTGGCCTCTAGGCAAGCCAGAGAGCGTGGGATGGGTGACCCTCTGCAGGCAACAGGAACTTCTGTCTTCCCCTGGGCCAAATACACTGAGTAGGGAAAAGTGGAGAGTATCCAAGTGCTCTGTGGGAAGGAGTTGCTGTCTCTTACACCGCTGGTGAGCGAAAAGCTCTGCTGGAGGACACCCTGCTGACAACCTGGCCTGCGTTCAGACCCCACGCCATGGATCTTGTCCCTGCCATTCCTGGTACATAGTGTGGGAGCCTTGCTCCCTGTCAGAGCTCCAAGAAGCGTTGGCATTTCTGGGTCTCCAAGGCTTTGCACTGATCTTGCTGTTGGGGCACACAGGAGCAGACAGGGCTGGAGAGGCAGGAGGGGAAGCACAGGATGGTGTCTCTCCCCTTCTCCCAACAGTGTCACGGTTTGTGAAGTACACGGGCTACGGGAATGCAGCTGGGCTCCTGGCAGCACGAGGCCTCATGGCTGGTGGTCGGGAAGAGGGAGAGTACTCAGAAGATGAAGACACAGACACTGAGGAGTACAAAGAGGCAAAGCCCAAGTAAAGAAGTCTGCTCCCCCTCTATAGCACCCCTCTTCCTACACCTTCTTCCCACTCCTGCGCTGTGCCTTTCTTCATCTGCATCCCTGCCATCTCACTTGTCCTGCTCTTTCACATGCATGTTTCCTTCTGTGTTACTTAGCAGTTTTACCCTTACCTTTGATGTCCTGTGCCACCCTCTCTGCCTGTTCCTTGTGTGAAATGCCTCTGTGGCTGAGCTGCTTGTGGTAAGGCTGGTCACTGGTGCATATATTCGATCCCTGCAGCTGGGCACAGGCTCAAGAGCAAAGTGGATTCCTTCAGCCAGAGCCTGCTGTGCACCAGACCTGTTCGTGGTGCACATGTGGCAGTGTCTCTCTAATCTGTATCTTATACCCTTGTTTGGCATCTGCACATCTCAGTACGGTGCAGGCTTTTGCTGTGTGCTGGGATAAGGGTGGTGCCTTCTTGCAGCAGGGTTGGAAGTGCTAATTACTCCTCTCCATCTCCAGAGCCCTGTGCTGCGGGAGTGAGCTGATTTTTTTTGTTTTGCTTTTTCTTCTTTGCCTGCCTAGTGGGTGGTGGTAACTCGAGGATGAGGGGTACGCAGGGAGAGCTCCAGGACTGTACTCAGCTGTGGGTCCCATACTTTCTAGGATCCTGTTCAATGCAATCTACAGGTTGGGGTTTGGGTTTTTTTTTTGTGTTAGCTTTTTGCCTCATGACTTAAGGAGGGGGAAGAACTGTCATCTGGCCTTGTGCACCTGGTTTAAAACTGCACTGTGGAATTGGCAGGGTGGTGATGTTGCTCAGACCGGGGAAATCGGAGGGATTTGTAAGGGGAGGACAACTGTGCATAGGACATACAGGAAGAGGTCAGGAGCACCACGTTGCACTGCGATAGCACTTGGGGTTAACGGGACGAGCAGCAATGACAACCAGCCTTGCCGTTGTGTTCCTTTGCTCAGTGGAGGCAAAGAAGGTTTGTAAACAACCCTTTTGTCACTCCTGTGGTTTACCTTCCTCCTTTGCCCCGGCCTCACTATTCTTGCAGCATTAACCCTGTGACAGGACGCGTCGAGGAGAAACTACCCAACCCCATGGAAGGGATGACTGAAGAGCAGAAGGAATATGAAGCCATGAAGTTAGTCAACATGTTTGACAAATTGTCCAGGTACTAGAAAGCTGTGTGTGTTCGTGTCTGCATTAGCACCTGTGTGTCTGTGATTTACGTTCATCACAGACCTTTCTTTGAATGTATTCCCAAGGCCACCACTAACTGAAGGGATGTAAGAGAGAGGCGGGGAGATACATGGGGAAACATTTCCTCAAGCTGGGCCCCGTTATGTGCAGGGGAAGGCACTGCAAGCCCCACACACCTCTTTGGCATGAGGACATACTGCGAAATTCCTCTACATGCCTGCTCTGTTTCCAAGCACCTGCTGCCTCACCAGGTTTGGCCAGGTAGTCGGTAAGAACAGCAGCCACTGTCCTGGCTCAGTAGGAAGCAGTGTTTTGGGGACAGATGGCAGCCAGGGCCACCAGTCCCTTTGCCCGCAGGAGTGCTTTCTCCAGTCATCTTTCATCCATCATTAATAGGTGCCACAGAGGAAGCCAGAGTCTGCCAGCTGAGTTCAGACCACCCCCAAGGGCGGGATGGAAAAGGGCAGCGTGTTTAATGCGTGTATTTCCATAGTGTGTTAGAGTGAGAGGAACACTGGTGCCAGCGCTAGTTTTCCCCTGGCAGCTCTGTACAATGCAGAACAGGACCCTGAAACTGAGCCTTTTCCAGGGAACCCGAGAATGGCAACACTTGGAATTTGTGCTTCCAGCCATCACCTCACCATGCTGGAGGTTTTATGGCTAGAACTGTCCCCCACTTCGGAAAAGGGATTCTTGGTGGTGGCCTGGGGTTGTTCTAGGCAGCCTCCGGGCAGTTTATGCTGTAGTATTAGTCTGTTCCCGTGTTGTCCACTGCAAATTTGCGTTACCTTCCCCCCTCTCCTCCCTGGCTGCAGAGAGCAAGTCATCCAGCCCATGGGCATCACGCCGAGCGGCAACCTGGCCCCCATGGAGAACGCCATCCGCGATATGGCTGACGAGAGGTCGTCATCCGACTCGGACCTGGGGCTGGACTGATCCAGACCTCTTGCCCCAGCCTCGGAGAGCTGAGGAGCCTCCGTCTGCTCTCCCTCCAGAACTGGTGCTGCACCCAGAGGCTAGTACTGGGCCAGGACTCTCCCTGTGGGATCTGGATCCAGCCCAGAGCCCTCACAGTCCACAACAAGGAACACCTTTCTGCCTCCTTCCCAGCTCCATAACCACCTCTCCTTCCAGAGGCTCTTCGTGGCCTGGCTCCACCTTGGTTTCTCCTGTCAGCAGCCATGAAGATTTCATACTCTAAATTGCTTCCAGGACTTTGCAGTAGGATTTTTTTTTTTCCCCAAATACATGATGTTTGGGAACAAGGGTTGGGGGGAGGATCTTTCTGTCACACCGTCAGCGTTCAGCAATCTGTGGAGCATCCTGCACACGTGCCGACACTAGCGCAGCTGCCTGTCAGCGTGCGTGTCGCTGTGCGTGGCCGGCCCTGTGTGGGGGGAGCCGCTCCCCAGGAACACAGGTGGGAAGGTGGGACTGCAGGAGAGGGGTGTGAGTGGTTATTCATGGCAGTTCTTCGGGAGCAGTGTCTGCCGGGTGTCTTGGCATAGTGCACCCATTTCATCAGCAGGTAGCTGTATGTGTGCACTGTGTATGGCTGCGAGTGTGACAGTGTCTGTGCAAAACCAGGAGTGTGTGGACTTAGGAGTGTGTACGTTATGTGCAGAGGGGAGCAGCGTTGCAGGGAGGTGAGTAAAGCCTTTGTGTGGAGCTTCCAGTGTTCCCATCAGCTGCAGGAGAGAAACGTGCAGGTGACTGCCAGGAACACTCTGATATTCAGTCTCTGGCACTGTGCAATGTTCCTGTTACCACAAGTTTAGTTTTTGGCGTTAGCCTTTCCCCATCTCACGCTTTCCAAATGAAAGGCCAAAATCTGAGCTTTGTCTGCTGCCTCCTCATCTGCCTTGGCTTTCCCACAGGTCCGCTGCTGTTTGCAACCAGGGGCTGGTGTTGATCCTGTCCTTTACTGTGGCTTAGATTTGACTTTTTTTTTCTCTGTTCTGTTGGGTTTTTTCTTTTAAAGAAAATTGTTTTAATCTTCCAGTTTGTCTCATGTACCAGAGTTCCAAAACTTACTATCACAAGTAGGAATGCAAAAGTGATGCTAGAATAAAGAAAACTTGACAAATGAGAGCATGGCAGTGATTCATTGAACGTGGTGGCTCTGAGCAAGTAAGGGAACATCTTTGGGTTTTTCTGACTTGCACATGGTTCTACTCCGATCACCCTGAACTTTACAGTTTTATTTGGGAGGTAAAATTGTAGCGTTAACCTGGGGCTAAGCCAGAACCTTTCCCTGCACCATGACCACTGAGTATAACCGAATGGAGCATCCCAAAGTTAAAGTAAGCATTGAAGCTTGAGGATTGCAAGACAATCTTAGCTTGACCCCTCGGGCCTCACAACATGCAGTTGTTTACAGGACTGTTCCTCATCTCCTTTACAAATGCTCCATAATGGTTGAAAATTGTGCACGTCAGCTCTGTGTTCTGCCTGCGCAATAGGGATTTGCTGTTCAGCCCTTGCAGGACACGAGCCAGGCTCGATGATCGCTTGGCTGTGTGGGTCTGCTGAGCTTTCTGACTCCCCGCAAGGCAGTGAGGCTGGGGCTCTGGTGGGGAGGCAGGACGGGCTGGCCAGGCTCCGCAACGGGGTCAGCGTATCGGGCGTCCGGGAAATCTGGGTCTGGGGAGGCTGCAGATGTGCAGTGGGGGCAAGCAGAGGGTTTGCAAGTATTCCTGCCTGTGTATTTTTAGGAGTTGGTGCTTGTTTTCTGAAGATGGTCTCTATGATGTGAAAAGGTGACGGGATGCTTCGTTTAGTTTAGTTCTTCAGTGATTAAGATTTTTGTTTTGCGTAGTCATGATTAAAGTTGCAGGCTCTCCCAGGAGTATACAATATTCATGTAAAACTGACCCACTAAGATTTATGGATAGGCTTCTGTCATGAGAATAGCTTCAGTGTTTCACAGTTGGAGTTTTTAGGCCAACTGCATCTTTCTCCTTTTTTTTCTAAGTAACTAGCAAAAACACCCACCACAGACCTCCTGTGTGAAAATGCAGACCTCTGATCTTTTTCCAGCTGTTAAAGCTTTCCGAAGCTATCATAGAACTGTTTAGGTTGGAAAGGACCTTTAGGATCATTAAGTATTGCATCCATGCAAAAGGAAAAGAGGCGGTGTGTGTATTTTTAGTGCAATTCTGATATTGTATTCTAATTTTCTATTGTGCTTAAAACCCTGACTTGCAACTGACGGGCCCTGCTTTGAAAAGCCCTGGTGCAAGGGCTGAATTTGGTACAGGGCGCTTCTGGAAAAAGGGTTTATAAACAGGGTACGATTTAAAAACAACACGTCGTGACCATTTTCAGTGTGAAGCAATGTGCTGCGAGGCTTCTGGTGCTCTGCAAAGTGAGAGAACAACCCTTCTGCTTTTCCTGAGGCTGCGCATTCGAATACATTTGCGGGGCCAGTCCCGGCTGCCCGAAGGAACGCGCAGATAGATTTGAATTGTGCCTTTGGATGAACAGTGCTGCTCCTCTGAATGGGAACTCGTTCAAACCTTTCTCCAAAGCAGCAGCTAGGACATCAAGTGCTGAACTCTTACTGTAGCATTAGCAGTAGATGTGCCAGGCTGCTGTGGAGTCCCTAGAGCTGGCCTGATTTATAGCAGACGAGTATTACCTCCAAACACTTCTAATTATATACAGATAGTGGTGAGACAGTGTTTAGAGACTCTAGCTTTGCCCTGGGAAGAGCTTTTAGGCACAGAAGTCAGTAATGGTGTTCCAGTGTTGTGTTATAAGACACAGCTGTGTCCTGAAATGCTTTTATTCCCTTTGCTTGGGTTTTCTGCAGTTTAGCATTAACTGTAACAAAATGGTGGCATAAAATGCTTTGCATTTTGTTGTGCTTGTTTAGAGCTGGTCCTGATCCAGGGTTGCCTCTAGCACAGTTGCTGCGATGAACAGATGGGTTGGCCAGGGCCGCCTGGGTGTGACTGCAATCCCCACAGCCAAATCTGGGTGCCGGGGTGATGAAATTCATGCCCTGTCGCGGGGAAGAGGCTCTGCTACACCTGTGATATGCAAAGTACATCTGCTAGGGCACATGTGGGAAAGGGCAGGACATCACTGCAGTGCTCTGACTGATACTGCCTCTCCCTGGGACAGCATTTAGAGGGAGGAAAGGCACTTGTGTAAGGTTAAAAGGAGAAAAAAAATAATAAAAAAGGAGGTGCAAGGAGTGTGGTGATGGTGGGGCCAGAATGTGTTTGAACACCAGGGAAGGTGCGAAGTTTACAGAAAAACCCTCAGGTGACATCGGCAAAAGAATTAGAACTCTTTTTATTATTAAATAATTAACTACTACACTGATTCAAAACTCTTCCAGCAGCTTGAGCTGGCGTTTCCCATTAGGAATGGGGGGCAGCCCCCCCATGACAGCATTTGTCCCCTCATTAGCAGAGATTTCATCTGAAGAATAAACACTACAAGTCTGCAGCAGCTGAAAGGTCATGACTAAGAGAAGAGTATCTGAGGAGGAGCTGTGAAAGGAGTTGGTAGGTGCTAGGTTGGTGGGGGGAGCTGGAAAACTCACTCCAGACTGTCCTGCTTTAAGGCCTGACTTTTGTGGCATTTTCAACTCCTGCTCCTTAAGAACCAGGCCCTCTCAGGGTCTCTGAGGCTGGATGGCTCAGAAGGAGGGAGACCTAGACGGCAAGCTGCGTATGCACAGCTCATCTGACGTGCTGGCATGAGCCCACAACCTCCCAGCCACTTACTGGTGAAGCTCTCATGGCTGGAGATCATCAATGGTGTGCTGATGGGGTGACAGCCAGAGCCGTGGAAGAGGACAGTCTCTCCTGGTGGGTGCAGAACTGAGGTAAGACAAGGAGGGAACAGTGCTCGGTGGCTACATCAACTGTTCTGAGGTCTCGGGTAGGAAACCCTTCACGTGCAGAACCAGGGTGCAGCTTGGCATTTGGGCTTCCCTCCTTTCGTGGGCGAGGGCCTCCCTGCGTCCAGCCTGGCTGGATTTGAGCCACCAGCATCCCCTCCTCCCCAGTGTGCCGGTCAGCTGCTGCAGAGCCGGACAGCCTCTTCCACGGCTCCCTGCCGTGATCGCTTTCTCTGCCCATGCTGGGCATGACAACATCTCCTTTCCAAGGTGAGCACTGCTCTCCAGCAGCAGGGAGCCAGCTGTCCTATTTGTCTTCTGTGTCCAGCTGGAAATAGAAAGACCACACAGAGTTTGCTGGGGTGTTTCAAACCTTCCAGCCCCTGTTAGCTCAGCCAGCAATGCTTCCTAGCACCAAAATCCCAGACCAAGGAGTTGTTTGTTTTTCATGCTTTGCCACATTTGTGTCAGCTTTATCCATCAGTGATTTAGAGCAGCACAAGCATCAAACCAAGGGCTGGCTGATCTCATACAAATGCAAAATGGCTTGTAGTGAAAAATCAAAAACCCAACCAAAACACTAATAATTCCTATTCATTCCTACCCCATAATCTGATGAAAGTAAGAACAACCTGAATGTTAAAATTGGAATCTTGAACCCAGATTTTCTCTCGGGTTGAAGAAGTCATGTACAGACAGTGTATCTGTTAAAAATACAACTGGCTTCTTACTATGGTGAGTTGGCGGAGCCCTACTGCAGACAACGGAGCTGTGCGCGTTTACATTAAGTGGAAGAGCTGGCCCAGCCCACAAGTTACAACTTCTGCTTAAATTAAAAAAAAAAAGTTTAAAAAGTGTGGAAATGTGGAAACTTAAAAATGTGGGAAAAAAATCTTCCCAGCAGGTTTAATGTAATAACATTAGCGCTAAACTGAAAGTAATTAAGAACTTGCTCTCCTGCAGCCTCTCACATCTGAAGATCTCAGATGATTACAGACATAAGAATGGCACAGGGAAATAAATGGTTAGCAGGGAGAAAAAAAGTCAAGTCTTTAGTTAACAACTCAGTGCTGTCGGGTGGAGCAAGTACCCTCACTCCTGCCTGCTGCTTTTGCTGCTCATCGCACATCTGGCCACTGCAGCACCTTGTTCGGCCTCAGACATAGCACAATTAGAGCTTCCCTTTCGTTACTACTCTTACTTATTTCTCACAATGACCAGAAAAACCACTAGAAATGAAACCAAAGCAATTAAGTAAATGTACAGAAAGAGGAAAGCTCTGCTAAGGTGATGCTTGGCTCGGCTCAGTGGAGTTTTCCTGTCTCCTCACACACGTCGAAGGGAAGCATTGCCTGAAGAAGAGAATGCCCGTGTGTTGCTTAAGTGCAAAGGTGAGTCCTCTGCTGACTTACAAGACTGTACTGGATTAATTTGATACAGATGACAGGAGGTTTTCTAGTTGGTCACTTCTGGCTCCAGGAAACTGCAACTTCATCTATAGGGCTTTTTCAGTGTGTTTGGGAACAGATGAAAAAAACTGATGAACAGAAAGCTTTTCAGTATGAGTGGGTCACTGCTTGAAGAAGCCCTAAAGTGCTCACATTCAACCCACAGCCTGATCTTTTCCATATTCTTCCTACTTGTCTGAGGTGGGCAGATCTGCATCCTCCCCTTCTGTGCTGCTGAAACGTTCAACAACACAGCACTCTGTGGCATCTTCACTGTGAAATAGCACTGAGGTTTGGTGTGGGTTTGTAGTTTTCTTTTTCCTTTTTTTTTTTTAACCTTTTTGCACTTTTCTGTGGCCCTCTTCTCTGAATGAAGACTGCAAGCATGGCAATGTCTGTGGTGCAGGTCTAACCCCAGCAAGCACAAGCCTGCTCCCCCCAGAATAACTCTAGCACAAGGAACGAAGAGGCTGAGGGAGGGAGACAGGGCTCTGAGCCCCTTCCCACCTTTTCTTTTTCCTTCTGAATTAGTGTTTGCATCTCTTCATTCCAGTCCAGCAGCTCCACCAGCTTCTCGACCCCACTGACCACGTCCCCCAGCTGGGCGATGTCATTGTAGCGTTGCTGCCAGGCGAAGGGTCCTACGAGATCTCGGTTGATCAGAACTCGGGGAACGGAGCTGCGAACAGCTCCTGCCAGGCTGGCAAAGGGCTCCACCTAAAGGAAGGCAACCCGGAGGAGCAGAGAGAGACGTCACCCTGCTGAGGGGTACTGCGGGCACGAATTCACTGCAGACTAAGCCTGTCACTGCTGTGCTTAACAGTTCTCCCACTGTGGGCTAAGCTACCCCAGCTTTGAACAGGTTATGGGTGTCACCAGTTAATCCGGTGGCCTTTCCTCAGGTAGCCGCAAAACTCATCTCTTGCTCTCCAGGTGCCCACCTTTACCAGGGGCACACAAGGTTTTCAGAAGGTTTCTCAGAGTGCATGCACCCTATTTCTTACCCTGCCAGCTCAACTTTCACCTCAATAACCCAGTTTCTCGCCTTCTCCTCTAGACCCTTTCTCTCTCCTCCAGAGTCCCCTTGGGCCCTGTATTCCGTGTGCCTTTTTCTCCCTGTGAGCAGGGGTTTCCCTTACTCCCAGACCTCCAGGGACGTTCCGATGACAAAAAGCAGGTCTGCCATGGGGAAGTCTGTCATGTGCAGGAAGAAGCGCTGTGGGAGGTCCTCGCCAAAGAACACAATGTCAGGCTTGACGACTCCAGTGCAGACGGGACAGTGAGGAACTTTGTCTGCCATGATGTCCCCCTGAAGCAAGAGCACCCAACACCATTCATTACAGGGCAGCACGTACCTGCACAAGCAGGGTCAGAGCCACAACACATCCTCACAGCAACATCCAGCCCCAAGTCTGGTTCCCTCCAATAAAACCTCTTGGCCCTGAGGGCAGAACAACAGGCCTGCGACAGGTTCTCCTCCTGTCATTGATTTATGTGCTGATGCCCAGCTGCGACCACTCACCCTGAAGTCCTCTCCTGGGAACTTCCTTCGACAGACGGTACAAGTGGCAGTGGCAAAGGTGCCGTGGGCTTCCACCAGTCTATCGGGAGGGATCCCAGCAACTGGAACACAGTGCGTGGGAGAGGACCAGCTCAGTGTGAGGTGACTGAACCAGAAACTCCATGTTCACTAGGCATTTCCCCAGTCCTGCCTCCTATTCTGCTTCTCACTCTCGTCTCTTCCCTGCGCTGTGCTGCTGAGAGATGTGGAAGAGAAAACTCACCTCTCTCCAGCCCATCAATATTCTGAGTATAGAGGCGCAGGAGGAGCCCTTTGTCATGCAGGAGTCTCAGGAAATAGTGAGCGTAGTTGGGTCTGTAGTTGCCAGGGTAGAGCTCCTTGGCCAAAGTGAAAAAGGGCTTAGGGTTGACAAAGAAATACGTCAGTTCAAAGATGGCTTCTGGGTAAGGGATGTTGTACTGCTCAAGGTTACTGTAGAGGCCACTCCCTGGGGACCTGCAAAGAGAGGAGAGCAGGGCTGGTAGTCAGAAGGCAGGAAGAGGTGCCACCCCACACAGAGCCAGACCGAGACGTGACACAGCAGATGGCCAGGTCCTTGGGTTCTCTCTGGCTGCTTTGTGCTGTCCATTGTGTGTCAAGAGAGCAGCTGAAACCACCCCTGTGCAGGAGGAGAATGTGCCTCACATCCCTGCTCTGCTGCCACCCCATGTTCTCCCGGCTGCAGAGGCTGCCTGCAGTCAGAGGAAAGGAAGGGCCACGCTCTCTTCTAGCTGGAGTGTCTTCAGCCCACGCCACAGCCACATTGGCTCTTCTCTGGAGGCCAAGGTGGTGCAGTGAACGCAGCCACAGGATCAAGCAACAGGCGTGACTTAACCATCCTGAAGACCTGGGTCAAGGAATGGCCCAAAGACTGACTGGTGATGCCAGTCTGCCTTTGGCTGGAGAAGCGGGATCAGCAGGCATGGAAACTCCTGTGCCTAGTCTAGCCTGGCACAGATAAACAAAACAGAGGGGTGAGAGCAGTAGCAGACACCAGCACGTATCTAAGATGAAGATCTTGGCTCCCCCAGCACTGAAAAAGGACAAATGAAATGATGGAGGCATTACCGAAAATCCGGGATGCCACTGGGAGTGCTAATCCCAGCACCAGCCATCACGACCACTCTGCGACACTCCTTCTTCTGAATTAGCTCTGCCACATCCCGCAGGGTGAGCTTCTGCTTCCCACCATCATCTCCCCATCTGCCCATTCCTAAAATGGCTCTGGCAGCAGCAGCAGACAAAAAGAAGGGCCTGGTCCCTTGGATCCTGCTCAGAACAGAGAGAAAGCATGACAGGTAGCGTACTGACAGCGACTTCAGCTGAAAACTGCTCAGGGGGAGGAAACCACCCCAAGAATTTTGCAGAAAGCCCTTCCATTGGCAGGACTGTGTGCTAGTACTCAACAAGGAGAAAGCTTAACTGTTAGTCTAATCCATACTCCAGGAGTAGATACTTTCCATTGTGCTTTCTTGTGCAGATCTAAAAATACCAGATCACTAGTACCCCTTAGAGGGGTTTGTTTTGGGCAAGGAGCGGACATAGGGCTGTGGGAACAGTAGCACTGGGACTCACAAGTCTCATAGTTGATCTACACTGCTCTTGGGATACGGAAGACTCACTCCTACATCCTGAGTTTCAAGAAGTTTCTAACAGGGTGATGCAGTCACCCTGGGACAACACTGCCCAGGTTAGCACAGACATTTTAATTTTTCTGTTTCCCCCAAGGGATCTGCCTTGAAAGAGCTCCACGTGTAAATGGCAAATGCTTAAAGGAATCACAGGTCAGCACTATTTACAGATGGGGCTGAGAACAGTCATTATCATCTCAAGGAACAGCTTCTCCCCAGACAATTAGTGCTTGCGGGTGCAGGACGTTACGAGCAGCCCAGAGAAGGCGTGGGAACACGAAGAGCCAAGAGAGAGCTGCTGGACCTTGGCAACTGCAGATAGCAATTACCGAGCTGTAAGTGTCAGCTATGCCCTCAGCGTAGTTGCCGCTGTCTTCACAAGGACACGGCTCTGCCTTGCCAGACCAGGTTCCCGGGGGGCCACACTCACAATCTGGCAAACACCAATATCTCTCTGGTAAACCTCTCCGCCCTTTGAGCACCCAGGCCGGCTCTGGCTCACAAAGATGGCGCCCCATCTGCCTATTTAGACAGGGGAGGCGATGTCCTCCATCCCATGCCTTCGTCGCAACAGTGCTGGCTCCTTCCCGGGAGCATCCCGGTGCAGAGGCCCGACGGGCACCAGGCAGCCCTACCTCCGTGCTCCG